TACAGTAATAGTAAAGTTAGGGAGGAACGGAAGATCTTTGGGGGAAAGACAAGATCAGTTTTGGACATGTTGAATTTAAGATGTCTACATGACATCCATTTTGAAATGTCTGAGTTCCAGGCAGTTGGGAACTTGTGACTGGAGGTTAGCCAAGAGGTTAGGGCTTGATAAATAGATTTGAAAATTATAGAGATGATATTTGAGTCCATGGGAGCTGATGAGATCATGAAATGAAGAGGTATAGAGGGAGAAGAGGGCCCAGGATAGAGCCTTGTGGGACACTTATGGTAAGTAGGCAAGTCTTGAATAAAAATCCAGCAACGAATACTGAGAAGGTAAAATCAGGAAAGAGGACTAGGAAAGAGTTGTGCTACAAAAACCAAGAAAGAGTATCAAGAAGAAGAAGGTGATAGTATGAAGTGTTGCAGATTGGTCAAGAGGAACAAGAATTGAGAAAAGATGATTACATTTGGTAATTAAGAGATTTCTAATAACTTCGAAGAGAGTAGTTTTGGATGAATGATGAGGTTGGAAGCAAGACTGTTGAGAGTTAAGAAAAGAGTGAGAATAAAGGAAGTGGAAAACACATTTTACACATCATTCTTCAGGAGTTTAGCCACATAAGGAGACAAGTAGATAGATAGATAGATAGATAGATAGATAGATAGATAGATAGATAGATAGATAGATTATGAATGAAGTGAGGAGTTTTTGAGGATAAGAGAATCTTGGGCATGTTTTTAAGCAGGAGGGAAGCATCCAATAGAATGGAAAAGAGAGAGTGGGGATGGATGATCGTGGGGGCAATCTCGTGAAGAAGATGGCATGCATGAGATCACTTGGGCACATAGAGGGGTTAGCCTCAACAAGGAAATAAAAACCTTCCTTTATATAAGAAATTAGTGAAGGAGGACATGGTGGCAAAGGACATCTAGATTATGTGAAATAAGGAATAGAGGAGAAGAGGGAACTCATGGAAAATGGCCCCAATTTTTTTTCAATAAAATATGAGGCAACATTCTGAGGATGAGAGGATGGGATAGAAGCAGTCATGGAAACATTGAGGAGAGATAAAACATTTTGGAACAACTGCCCTGGTGAATAGGGTAGTGAGTTCATTAGAACTATCAAGTATAGATTATAATTATGTCATTATAACTACAAGGTATAAAAAAGATTGCATTAAAGCAGTGAGGGTCCAGCTGAAATTATGTAACATACATTTGTAGTGGACTCAGTCAGTAGAGTTTCTTGATTTTCTCCAGGTTTGGTCAACAGCACCTGTGTAGGTGCAAGGGAGGCAAATGATGGAAGGGATTTGAGGCTGAGGCTTTGCTTGGAATGTTTGTCAATAAAGTAAGGGGAAGGAATTCAACAGGAAGAGGACAATTGAGGCTGGAACTGGATCACCAAGAGATGGAGAGAGGAAATGGAGGAGAGTGTTACTAATAGGGAGGCAATGGCCTGGGAAAGAATGCTGAGGAGTTGCAAGATTGGAGGTCATGATCTGAACAAAGGACAGGGGTTGGAGTTTCAAGGGAGAGGAAGGGGTAGAATGGTGATTGGAAAATGATGTGTCAATGGAATACTTCATCCATCTCCTTTTCATTACAGCCCTGTCCCAATTGTTTTCATACCCCTTATCCATCCTTTTCTGTGGCTCTCTCATCGTAAGATTTAACAGTATCTGCCTCACTTAAATCCAATTAAGTCAAGACACCACCCTTGTGATGCCATTGCTTCTCTTCTAGGGTGAAGAATGAACAACAACAATCATAAGATTATGAATTTAGAGCTGGAAAGGACCTTAGTGCCCCATCAATCCAACCCCCTCAATTGACAGGCAAGTAAACTGAGGCCAGGAGAGATTCATTGGCTTGGCTTGGTTTACACAGACATTAAGTGTCTAAAACAGGATTTGAATTCAAGTCTTTATATCTTTAAGCCCAACATTCTCTCCACTGTACCCAAACTGGGACACTGCAGTGCCAATTTTCATGGGCTCCAGATGAAGCAAGAGTGGTCTAAAAATGGAAAATGGTTTTGTTCTGTGTCACAAGGAGCAAAACCCAGCTTTGGGCTGAGGCTCACTCAATCCAAATTTATTTTATGTTCCTTCCCATTTGCCAAGCATTTACGTTTTTTTAAATGCTATTAACTACTGCTCCAGGAGATATTATGCGTTCCATCTAGGAACCCTCATGCTTCCTTAACAGCTCCTGTGGACTTCACAAGATGATGCCTTAGCCTGACGGCCTAAAGACAAAAACCTGGCAAATACTATACAGGAGTGCTCAGAGGCAATCAGCGGCAGCAGCAGCAGCAGCAGCAGCAGCAGCAGTAGAAGGTGGCTTACTTCGTAGTGAATCTGTGGCAACAACACATCTCAAAATGAAGCACAGGTAGAAATTAGGAAGCATTAGCTTTTGTCGTTCCTTATCAAGTTAATAATTTACATCTCACCCTTCGTCTGCCCCCAATTATATTTTAATGATTTTCTACAAAGGAAAGTGACATCAGAGTTCCAGTCCAATGCCTGATAGATGAAGACTCCCTGTCCAATGAAGAAGCGACTCATAGCACTCTGAATTTGGAGGCAGAAGACTTGAGTTTGAATCCAGCTGTGACGATTACCTCTTTGGGCCTCAGATCCCACATCTGTAAAATGGGGATGCTTATAACACTTGTACTACCTATTTCACAGGGCTGTCCCGAGGAAGAGAATGGCAGTTTTATGTGACTATATATGTGTGAACTCTTTTGATGGTATTACCCAAGGACACACCACATAGCTGATTCATACCTCATCCAGGAAAAAGGTCCGTTCTTTTTTTAGGGAGAAATAATGCCTGTCAAACAAACTTATGTCTCAGGCTTAGCAATAGAATGCAAGTTATGTGGGAGCAGAGATTATTTTATTTTTCATCTTTCTGTACCTCGCATCTAGTACACGTAATGTCTGGTACCTAATGTTCAATAAATACATGTTGCCTTTGAGAGATATAAAACTTCTGACCAATGAAGTGACTAACCATGATTCCAGAGGGCTAGTGATGAACTGTGCTACCCAGCTGCTGACAACTAGTGTTAAATTCAAGATGTAGAATGAGACATATTTGGGGCGTCACCAATGCGGGAATTTCTTTTTGCTTGACTACATATACTTGTTAAAAACAAAGTTTTATTATTTTATAAAATTATGGATAGGGTGGGAGGGAGAGAAAAAAAATCAGTGCTTGATATTGAAAAGGAAAGGAAAAAAATAAATTTTTGTTGAATTAAATTGCTAGTTACCCAAGGGTGTAGGAAAGTGACCGAATGGACAGTTTCTCAAAGTTGTTTGTCAGGTCATAGAACAATAGATTTAGAGCTTGAATGAGCTTTGGAAGTCATTTAGACCTGACATCCTTAAACTTTTTGCATCCTGGACCCCTTTGGCAGTCATTCTGGTAAAGCCTAAAGACCCCCTTCTCAGAGCATTGTTTTCAAATGAGACAATAAGTTATCTAGAATAATAAAGGAAATCAGTTGTATTGGAACAGAGCTCTTAATATGCTAAAGGGGAAAAAAATTCATGGACTCCAGGTTCAGAAACTTAAGTTAAAGGTTAATAAAAAATAAAGATGCATTTTTTTCCCTTTCAACTTCATCGACATCTTTAAATGTATCCATGAACCCCTTAAGGAATCCCATTTTAAGGACTCTGACCTAAACCAACTTACTGATTATAGCTATGTGAAAAGAGAGATTCACAGACTGACCTGTCCAAAGTGACATATCTAGCAAGGAGCATAGTGGGGAATTCCAATCCTCATCCTCCAGATCTCTGAGATCACATTGCCTCAGACACTATCAATTAACTTGACGTAGCACTTGGGTTCAGTTACATGAGTGCTGGATAAGAGCTGCCCCCTTCTTTGGCACTGTGAGCAGGCCCTTGAGGACATAATCTTGCTTTTTTCTCTTGATGGATAAAGATTGAATTGGAGAAAAAGCAATAACGAAATAAAACTGGAGCCGAGAACAAACAGCTGCAGTGCCCAGATAAGCTTTGTTTGCTCCCACAATACGCAGTGACCACCTTGACACTCTTCACTCTACCGCTGCTGACATGCCCTGGCACTGATTTGCTCAAACTTGGACAGATCATCTTGATGACTTCTCAAATAGGGTAAGAAAAAGAAATAAGGATCATCTGTCAGGCTGGCTTTTAGTTGTTTTTTTTCATTCAGTTTCCATTCCCTGTCCCCCACACACACACTTTTCCCCCCCTACACTACAGAAATTAGCACAGAAATCTAGGCTAACCCCTATCAGAAAGGAAACAAAAGAATATGAATTAGCACCCATGAAAAAATAGCCTTGATCTTTAAGGAGAAGAATTGTTTTGGCTACTGTTGGCATGCCCAAGAGAAATGGAAAATAAAAAAAGGAGCAAGTCCCCATATGTAGGCATGAAAATAGTAACTATCCCATTATGAGAATTTTTAATTTAGTTGAGGTACAGGAGAAAAAAAAAACACATTACTATCTAGAGGAAAGGGTGCTATATAAATTGAATTCATTGATATATTTTACTACTAATAATACTGCTGCTGCTAAAACTACTACTACCCCAAAGTCCAGATAAAGGCAATAAAAATAAACTAGCCTCCCCTTTCAGAAATCTCCTTATTATATCTTAATGTTCTCAACCCTATCAATTTCACTTCAAGCACATCCCTCTATAACAACTGGGTCAGTGGCATTGCACTGAAGTCAGGAGGAAGCATTATGAAAAATGTAGATAAATCTAGTCCCTCTCTTCTTAGACAAGGAGCTGATTCTGGACTCTTGTCATGATATAAGAGTCCACTGTGTTTACTTATGATTAGAAGGGACTATAGTATCATGACTGTGGGTTGAGGAATACCAGGTATTACAGCTTGGCCCCTCCCTCTTCTCCAGAACATAAAACCCACCTAGCTAATGCCATGAGCTTCAGGGACTGAGGTACTTACTGCATTGAAGTTGGGGAACAGATTGACTGCTGCTGCAGTGTCCAGAGGAAAGGGAAGAAATGGTTTAATATCCAGCGAGGGCTGCAAAGGTGGGGCAGGTGGACGCACCAGGGCTGGGAGAGCAGGGCTCTGGCATGTGCCACCTGGAGATAAGAAGGGAAAAGAAAAGAGTTAGCAAGATCCTCTGCCTTTGAATGAATCCCCTTGCTGAAACACTTGAAGTTTCTCACAAAGGATTAGAAGCCATTACAATGTTTCCCTGGAAATCAAGAACTCATAAGCCAATTGTGAAACCTGTTGCTATCAACCGGCAGCCGACTTTTCCTTGTTCAGAAGTAGCTAGTTACGATTTCTCCCTCTGCCTTCCAATTGAACAGATAACCCTGGAAAAGTATCTCGGGGCTATTTCCTGCCAGGCAGCCATTCGGGATTCAATTATCAATCACATTTTCAATGAAGATGGCTTCAAGACCGCTAGATTCCATATTGGTTTTTCATTTCTAGGGCAAATGCAGCCCTCCGGCCCATCTCCTGCTAAAACGCATCTTAGCTTTCAGAGGTGCTTGTGCTATTGTTTCTCTAGGTCTCTGCTTTTCACAGCATCCTGAACTCTGGCAGCGGTAGGCAGAGAACTAACCTTGCAGGAAAGACAAATCACCCTACCTTGCTTCCTTGGTAGGTGGGGGATTCAAATGCTATTTTTAATCCACTGTTAACAAAGAAGTGGGGCTGCTAGGAAGCATTCCACAAGAGTCAGTCCTCACCCACCGCTGTCTTAGGCTATTGTCAAATACACTAGATTTTTTTTTGGGGGGGTTGTATTTAGGGATAGATAGAATTTAGTATCCTCTTAGAAAATAGCATACCTCCTCAGCCATGCTACCAATGAGCAGTCTGTGGGACTATTATGGAAATGAAGACATCCCCTTGCATACCAATCAGTAGCCACCTGTTCGCAATGGAGCATCATTTTTTTGCCCCCCCCCCCAGGACATTGTGTCAGTCAGTTGCCTGAAAGCTGGAAGGACTCAAGCCCCATCTTCAGCATCCAATATTTCCCCTGTTTTGGTTATATTCCAAAACATCAATTTGCTGTTAATTAAAGACTGTTTGAATCCTAGGAAACTGTTAAAATATGCCAGTGTTCTTCTAATCTGAGAGGCAGGCAGCAGACTGTAAAAAACTTACTGGGGAGAGGCCAAGAAACATTAGAAAAACAAAATGCAATGGGATTTTTTACCCTTCTCTGAGAACATTCTGAAGAGAAGAGAATAGGAAGGAGAGAGAAGGAAGAAGAGGAAGAGCAAGGTGAGATAGATTCTAAATCCCAATATGGAACTACCATCTTATTTTATAAGTTAGTTGAGTCAAAGGTGACAAATAGCAAAATAGAACAGTTGCTTTAAAAAAAAATCTCACTCAGAATTTCTCTCAATCAGAAGTCTCTCTTCTTTCCTTTCTCTGCCTAAGTCTCTCTCTGTGTGGCTCTAGTCTTTCTCTGTCTCTCTGTCTCTGTCTCTCTGTCTCTCTTTCACACACACACACACTATCCCTGATTACATGCCCTCTACATAACTCTGGTGATTTTCATTAACATTCCACACACATTAGAAAGGATGCACAAAATCTATCCAATTGGGGTAGAAAAGCTGCTAACTATGAGTATGACTTAATGCCTGTAATTGAGGACTCACAGAAAAAGATTTAATTAACCACTTGCTATAGCCAGTCAGCTCTCCTGCTTCTAGGTGTAAAATCAACTGTAGCTAAAGGAGCAAACACATTTTTCTTACCATTTCCATAACTTTCATGATGAAAAATAAATCACGGATGATAATATATCCAAAGCTGGATGGGTGGCAGGGGGAAGAGAGGAAGAGAAGGAAGATCTGCATTTACCTTGAAACACTTAAACACATCCGCTATCGCCCTGCCAAAGAGTCTTGAGTTAAACTTCCATGGAGGGCACTTGCCAGAGGATTTGGTGAGAGGCTGAGTACTGTATTCCTTGTAGGTTCCTAATGCTTCACCTCCCCCAAACTGCTGAAATGCTTTTATGAACCTGCAGTGAATTTTAATTGTCTCTCTTTGGAAAGCTAATCAGCAAAGTCAGATATGGATTGAATAAATCACACTATTTATGTTTCATGAGACAAAATAAAACCTTTCAGGATCAGCCATTTAGAGGAAGAGAGGACTTTAGTGATCACCTCGTCAAATCTCCTCACAGCACAGGTGCAGGAATTTTAGCCAATAAGGAATAGAGTCAACCTCAGTCTTATCAAATCCAAATAGAAATGGGGTCCACTAATCCACATCTAAGGATCCTTGAGGCCTACATATTGTTTTTAACGTAATATTTAATTTGTTTTGCTATATTTTCACTTTTTTGTTATTTTTAAAAATCATATTAAATGTGGTTCAGGCAGGGATCCACATAGTATTGGGGGCTGTGTGAATCCAGGGCCATGTGTTTGACATTTCTGATTGAGCTAATGAATGGGCAAATAAAATATGAAACCAGGGCCTCTGGAACCAAAACATGAACTGTTCCCAATGCACCATGTTCCTTCCCTAAATTTTCATGTCACTTTATAACATATTTGATATCATCTGATCTTTTGTGGTTGTTGTGGTTCCAGAGTGGAAGCCCCCTCAGCTGACACTATGAGCAACTCATCTATTACTCATGATCTTGGCTGTAGCACTAAGAGGTAAATTGATATGCTCACGATCACACAGAGGCTAGATTTGAACCCAGGTCTTTGTGACTATGAGGTCAACCCTCCTTTCACCTCACCTCTGTTACCTCATTGATCCTAACAACAAAGACATCATGCAACACATAGCAAAGCAATCTTGACAAAGAATAAAAAAGAAATAAACGTAATTGTTTTGTAATGTACTATCTGTGTAGCCTTGGATAAGACTTAATTCTCTGAACACCTGTTTTCTCATCAATCACTGATCAATAGATAGAAAGGCCCTCAAACCCATCCAATCAATCACTCAATCAGCAACTATGTGTTAAGCAACCACTGTGCTCCAGGAACTCTCCTAGGTGCTGGAGTTACACAGGTAATGAATGGAACTATCTTTGCCTTCAGGAACCTTATGTTCAATCAAGAGAAACATATATGTGTATGGAAGTATACACAAATGTATAAATATATACATACATGATAACTTTATTACATATTTAAAAGGAATAGCAACTTGTACATAACAGATTTGCAGTTTCATATGCTATCATCTTTGTATTGTTATTATTATTATTATCATCATCATCACTATCATACTGTGTTACAGCAATGTTTGTTTTATTCTATAAATTAAAATAAAGTTTAAAATATACACATACATAAACATATACATACCTATATACATATATGTGCACATATACATAAACATACACACATATATTAATACATATGTGTATATACATATATATGTATATGTGTGTTTACACATACACAGAGGAGGGGGCAATTTTGCCCCTAGGCAAGTGTCTTAGAGCCAGGGGTGGGGAACCTGTGGCCTCAAGGTGGCATTTGGCCCTCTAGGTCCTCAAGTGTGGCCCTTAGACTGATTCTAAACTTCACAGAATGAACCCCCCTTAATAAAAGGATTTCTTCTGTGCAGTTTGGAATCAGTCAAATGGCCTCACTTGAGGACCTAGAGGACCACATGTGACCTCAATGCTGGGGGTTCCCTGCCCCTGTATCTTGACTCTCAATTTACCTCTAATTCCAACTGATCAAATTGTTTGATTTCCAGTTGACAGCCCTGAGTCTCTATAGCACATAGATTACCTATATGTCATCTCATTCCCCCAAAACAGAACACATAAACACAAACCAAGAGCAAAATAGCTCATTGAGCAGACTCTATACTTTGTACCCACAGGAAAAGAATCCCTGCCCTCCTCCTCCCAGAGTCCAGGGCATTTTCTTGCTTCCCCCCCCCCAAGTATATCACCATATCTTACATCTCCACTCCAGCTCCTTCCCCTGATGCCTTCCTTGATATGAGCGTGGCACTTAATTCCTCTATTTCTCCCTGTGTTGACACTACTACTCACATAGAAAGACTACAGTCAATGCAGTAGAAAGTTTTGTAGCGTCTTACATTTAGCCAGAATTACAGCAAGTTGCAGAGTATAAACAGGGGGAGCCAGATGGTACATTGGATGGAGTGCTGGGCCTGGGGTCAGGAAGACCTGAGTTCAAGTGTGGCCTCAGACACTTACTAGCTGTGTGACCCTGGGCAAGTCACTTAACCCTGTTTGCCTCAGTTTCCTCATCTGTGAAATGAGCTGGAGAAGGAAATGGCAAGCCACTCCAGTATCTTTGCCAAGAAAACCCCAAATTGAGTCACAAAGAGTTGGATGCAACTGAAACAAATGAACAACAGAAACAATATAAACAGAGTAATCTCATATTAGTAAATTCAATTCAGTCTAACTAACTTTGATTAACTATGTGCTAATTAAGTAAAATCAACAAGCAGTTATTGAGCACCTACTATGTGCTAAGCACTGGCTTTAAAAAAAAAATTGAACCAGTCTTTGTCCTAAAAGAACTTGCATTCTATCATGGAAGGGCTAATACTTGTACAGTTAGTAGTTTATATCTATCTATATGCATATATATTTTAATAATAGGGCCTTTGGGGCAAATGAATTGATTTTACTTTTATTAAGCAAAATAATGCCTCAGAAAGAGTAATGTATGTGGAGTCAATGGGTGTGGGTTCAAATCCTGGCACTTCTACTTACCATGACTTTATGCAATTGCTAACTTTGACCTTGCTTGGCTTATTTCTTAGTCTGTAAAATAAGAGGGTTTGGACTAGATGGCTTATACATCCCTTGAACACCAAGTTCTAAGAAGCAAGGATCACTTTCTAAGCACCTATTATGCTCAAACCAATTGAGTGGTATTTTCATCCAGAAGACAGCAGATTTCCTTACAAACTTTAATAATAATAGCCAGCATTTATATAGTATTCTGAATTCTGCAAAGTGCTTTACACGTGTCACACTTGGATTTGTACTTCACAATCCTGCTAGTAATGCACAACAGATATCATTATTCTCATTTGACAAATGAGGATACTGAGGCTCAGTCAGATTGAGGAACTT